TGTCACATATCCTTCAGAAATCATTCTAATATGCTGATTTGCTGCTCAAGAAACATTTATTATTATTATTATTATTATTATTATTATTATTATCATCAATATTTAAAACAGTTGAGTACAATTTTTTCAGGATTATTTTAATGAATAGAAAGATCCAAAGATCAGCATTTATCTGAAATAAAAAGCTTTTGTAACATTATACACTATACCATTCGAAGCTTGCAGTCATTATAATTTTTTTTTCCTTTTTGGGAAAGAAATTATATAATACTTTCATTTAACAAGGATGCTTTAAATTGATCAAAAGTGATGATAACGACATTTATAATGTTATAAAAGATTTCTATTTCAGATAAATGCTGTTCTTCTGAACTTTCTATTCATCAAAGAAACCTGAAAAAAATTCTACTCCGCTGTTTTAAACATAATAATAATAATAAATGTTTTTGAGCAGCAAATCAGAATATTAGAATGATTTCTGAAGGGTCATGTGACTGGAGTAATGATGCTAAAAATTCAGCTTTGAAATCACAGGAATAAATTACATTTTAAAATATATTCAAATAGAAAGCAGTTATTTTAAATAGTAAAAATAGGCCTATTTCACAATATTACTGCTTTTGCTGTATTTTGGATCAAATAAATGCAGGCTTGGTGAGCAGAAGAGTATTCTTTAAAAAATATAACAAATGTTACTGTTCAAAAACTTTTGACTGGTAGTGTACTTAATTGCAGGCTTGTTAATTATTCCTGAATAATTCTCACTCCAGGCTGAACTACAAAGCTGGCAGCCCTGTTTGAAGTAAGTTGACGTTTTAGGTTCCCTGAACAACATTTACAAAATTCACTGTAGCCTACAAGTTAATGTTAGATCTTTTGCTCCAACCACTGGTTAATGAGGTGATAGAAGTAAGAGAAATAAGTTTCAATATACTAACATTTGAAGTTACGGTAGGAATGTATAGCTAATGTGGGGTAATGTGAAGTAATCAGCAATCGTAGGATTTATTCATGCTTTTTTTATGCCAGGTTGGAGTTATACACTGATTTTCTGTCATGGTCTATGGAGACTCCCTGAATTAGCCTTGGCCACCAAATGCATAAAACTCTAGCTCCACCACTGACTTCCAGAACAAACATTTACAGATAATGTACTCACCCCCTTGTCATCTAAGATGTTCATGTCTTTCTTTCTTCAGCCGTAAAGAAATAGTTTTTTGAGCAAAACAGTTCAGGATTACTCTCCATGTAATGGACTTCTATGGTGCCCCCGAGTTTGAACTTCCAAAATGCAGTTTAAATGCAGCATCAAAGGGCTCTAAATGATCCCAGCCGAGGAAGAAGGGTGTTATCTAGTGAAACGATTGGTTATTTCTAAAAAAAAAAAAACAATTTATATACTTTTTAATCTCAAACGCTCGTCTTGTCTAGCTCTGAGTGAACTGTTTTTTTCCGGTTCATGACAGTTAAGGCCTGTTCACACCAAGAACGATAACTATAAAGATAACTATAAAGATAACGATATAAGTGTCCACACCAGCGAACGATATCGTCTGTTTATTCTAAGCGCACGTTCGTCTGACGCTTTAAATTCTCGAGCTCGTGATAGCAGGATGGATTCTGATTGGATGTCAATGTTTGTATCGTTCATCAGGTGGAAAAAAATCGTTTTGAAAGTGATTCCAACGATATCGTTTCTCTGTGCCTTAATCGTTATAGTTGTGGTGTGGATTCTGCTATTCTTTAATATTGAGAACGTTTTTTAGAACTATATCTTTATCGTTATCTTTATAGTTATCGTGCTTGGTGTGAACAGGGCTTTAGGGTATGTCGAAAAACTCCTATTTCATATTATCCTCCAACTTCAAAATCGCTGTTTTACCATTTTTTTGTAAAGGGCGTTTGACCTTCTTTGCATGTTCACTTGGGTCGGTACTTCTGCAGCGATGTAGGACGATTTTGAAGTTGGAGGAGAAAATGAGATGGGAGTTTTTCAACATACCCTAACGTTTGTGTGCCAGTAGCAGCTGCACACTGCGTTGTCTTCTGCTCATTCTTAAATTTTCTGTTTTATGACAGGTGGTGACTAAGGGCAAATTTACACAATAACAATTGTGCTAAAAACAGAAAACTTTTTCCTTTGTCATGGATCCGCGTAAAAATACTAAAAGCGCTGTATTATACATGCCAGGCCAGTAGTTGGCGATATCACTTTGGAAAGAAACACTATGTGCATGTGCACATACCTATAGACTGAACACGTAATATGTATGCGCAGGACAGCACATTTTTCACAAATCCGAGTTTTCGTAGTTTACACAGAGACGATAACTATATCGTTATCAAAAACCTGCACTTTAAAATCCATTTTCAGGCCCCCAAAATGCCATTATTGCCAAAACGCATAAAAAAGTTTTTAGTTTTTAGTTAAAAATGGTGTGAGGTAAATGGCCCCTCGGGTGCAATACTGCCACCTACTGTGCTGGAGTGTCAACCAAATTATTTACGATATTTTGATATGTGTAACATGACATTGATATATATATATATATATATATATATTTATATTAAATATCTCTGTCATTATCAATAGCTGTATAGCTCAACACCCCTCTTTTGAACCCAGCCTAGTGCTGTACAGATGCTTTGAAACATTGATACGATTTAAACACACAAACTCTTCTGTGATGCAATGGCAGTTTTTTTCTTTAGCTTTTGACGCTTGTTCTCTTTGAAAGATTGTGAGGTTTCTGTGAATGGGTTTAAAATGAAGCTGGCTAACCGGCATGGCGATGTCTTGTGAAGTGATGCACGTCCCGCGTAAACATAAACACAGACTCCATCTGTTTGGTGGCTTGCTGTGGTCTGGGAAGCAGTGTGAAACAGAAGAGTTCACACGCGGCACAAAGAGACAATTATGGGTCGCGCTGGATGGAGGAACAGCGGGAGAGAGGAGAGCGAGCGAGAGATAGTAGAGGCTTGTCTATCCCTGATGGGACGAAGATGTTCTCCTTAAGTGTCACCCTCTTCCCACTGTATCCAAGACAAGCAGTCAATGTGTCCATTAAGCCTGAATGAATACATACCCACAAGCACAAGATCGCATTCACTGGGCCCATATTCAATTAGTTCAATGAAGTAAATGTTGTGTGTTAAAATAAAATGTGTTAAAAACGAATAAATAAATAAATTAAAAACTGATTAGGGGACTGTTCGCATATCTATAACTTTTTATACATGTAATTTAGAAAGAAAAATATAAAGCAAGATGGTATCCATATCTAGTAATGTGAAATTTTGATCAGATTTGAAATCTGATACAGCAAAATTTAGGATTTAAAATAGAATTTAAACCTGGACCTAAGCAAAGTTTTAGACAAATTAAAATTAATCTTTATGATGTTTTTAATTTAGCTTTTTTTATTTGCACTATAAAACTGTAAATAAATCAAATTAAAAATTTTTAATTTTAAAGAAATTAAAACAAAGAAATATCATGATGCAAGATGAATAAAAAATAATTAGTTTTGCACTATTTTTTGCACTGTAAACCTGGAAATAAACAAAGTTTTAAGATTTTAAATAAATTAAAACAAAGCAACATCGTGATGCATAAAGAAAAATAAATGGCTAAATATGAATTTTATGCTAATGTTTATTTATTTGTTTTATGGATAAAGTAGACTTTAAGTGTGTGTAATTTTTCTTGAACTTTGGAGCACTTTTAAACCAAAGCTTTACCATTTTTTCCCTAGATGGGCTGATAAGAGACACTTCATTCCTCAGTTTGCAGGTTTTTGGAGTAACTGTTTACCTTAAATTAAGATTTTGTACCAGCAGTCCTGTCCGAAGGCAAAGTTGTTTTATCATCAATAATGACGGTGCCAAAACATTCAAATATATCAAACAGAGGACTACATTTATCTTTTGACTTTTCTAAACATTGTTATAAAGCTCTCACATCCCTACACTGATAACACAGTTGGGCTACATGGTTACAGCAAGAAACCTCTCATCATCATCATCATCATCATCATTTACCATGTAATTGATGGAAAAACAAAGAACTTGAATTAATTCAACCACAAATTCCTGTTATGTGCTCTGGCAATCAGCTCTCTCCAACACCCTCTGTTGGGAATTACACTTGTCTGGAATATGAGCAAACAGGTCACACTCAGAGCATTCCAAGATTCAGAACTTGGGAGAGTTTTGAAAAATGTGCAGCTGTGTCCAGACAGTCATTAAATATGGACGCCTGCAGCAATGAACTTGGAAAATGAATTAGATGGTTAGGAACTGATGTGAAGTAAAAAAATAAATAAAATGAACATATTACAGTGACAGCAAATAAAAATGAATGGTGTTTGTGTGTATGCATTAATATTTGAATAACAGCATTTGCATACAGACTTATTGCCACTGAAAAATGAATGGATGTGTGTGTGTGAGATATTAGAGCATCAGCATCTGGTGAAGGCTTCTCACACACCAGGTGTGGCTGTTAGCTCTTGTGCTGCATCAGCACATAGCATGGAAATATGAGAGCATATAATATAAAACACACATACACAAGCGCACACACACTTTGCTTAAATAGCTTTGAGGCTGCAGCATGCCCTTTAAAAACACCTGCACATGATGGATGTAGATTTGAACACATATAACCAGTGGTCAGCATATGGCTAGGTCGATGACATGATGCATACTTTTTTGTCTGGATTTATTAATTTACTCAAAATGCATTAAAATGCAATTCATGCATGCAATAATACCTCATCTAGGATTTGCATGTTTTTAATTTCATTTATATATTGTGGGTAAAAGTTAAAAATGTCAGGGTGATACAGCTATCCTGATATCATGATGAAGAAAAAAAAAATAAATTAATGACATTTTTAAATAGAAATAGAAAATAAATTTTAACTTCATCTTTTATTTCTTAGAAAAATATAAATATGAATCTACTATTTTGAAGTAGTATTGATATTATAACTAATATTATTTCATTATAAATGATCTCTTGAAATAATAGATAATTTGACCCTTTTTATGACAAGGCAAGGTTAGATTTGGCTGTTAAAAATGCCATGTGGTGTGATTCCCAAAAACAAACAAACAAACAAAAAAAACGTAATAATTAATGATGTTGATAAACACTTTTTACCTTGAAAAATAATTAACATTTTATTTTTATAAACTTTTTAAATACTTATTGAAAATACATGTACTAATGAAATGAATGAAAGTTACATCACATGATATTTATAAAGTCATTAAATTACATCTTTTCACAAAAATAGTACAAATTATTCAAAACAATATGAAACCAATATTTCTAAGAACTTACCACATTTATAAAAAAAAATTATTTAATTAATTTATTTATCAAGTCCCTTTTTATCGTCAAAGCTCTTATATATCATTGAACCGGCTACCGATTTTATAATAACTCATTACATTTACTTGTCCATAAGACATGCTCTGCCTGAGGGCTGAAAATACTTAGCAGCCTCCGATCAGTAATGAGAGGAACATACTCAGGAAGGTGACTTGAGCAATAAATTGCATTTGGCTTTCACTTGTCATGCTTTTGACCATGAACGCCCCGCTGACTGTAACCACACAGCATGCTTTCCACCACAGTCCAGTCTCTGTCATTTCATTGCCTTCACAAATAACTGGATTTGAGGTTAGAGGCATGTTTATGGTTAAGTGAGTCTGGACCGAGCCACTCACTGTACTTGGAATGTTCTACCACATATTTTTCTACACATGATAGACGTCACATGCCACATAACAACATCTACATTTACACCAAGAACACACATGTCAGGACGAGTTATTGAAAAAAAAATCTCTGTCCACATGAAAACGCAAACGCATGCTATGAAGCACTGTCAAGAGCATGCCAAGCCAACAGGTGGTGATATAATCTCAACCGTAAAGCCATGTTGGCCAATCAGAAGCCTGAAAAAGTTTCCAGTAGGAGGAGATAACAGTGCATGCTCCGACGTCTCAAGCCAAAAACTCCGGTTTCGCTGTCTACACGATAACACTGCAACCGGAGTTTTTGAAAATCTTCACCCTGGCAGGAGTTTTCAAAAATGTTCGGTTTCAGTGACCTGGTACTGCGTTTGCGTGTGGACGAATGGCCAAACCGCGTAGAAAAAGCTGCGGTTTTGAAAATAACCGCGTTCGTGTGGACAGGGCCTTATTTGAGCCAGGGTGAAGATTTTCAAAAACTCTGGTTGCAGTGTTATCGTGTAGAAAAGCGAAACCGGAGTTTTTGACTTGTGACGTCGGAGCCTGTGCTGTTATCTGCTTTTCTGGAAACTTTTTCAGGCTTCTGATTGGCCAACATGGCTTTACGGTTGAGATTATATCGCCACCTGTTGGTTTGGCATGCTCTTGACAGTGCTTCATAGCATGCGCTTGTATTTTCATGTGGACGGAGATTTTTTTAAATACGGAAGAAGGAAAAACTCTGTTTAAAAAAATACCCGTGTACGTGTGGACAAAGTGGCCAGGACAGTTTTTGGATTTTGGACTGAAGACACTTGTCCCAAACGTGTTGTCAAACACATTTTTCTCAGGTTCCTCTGACCTGGCGAAAACACCAGAAGAGGAAGTAGACAGAAAAGCCAATTTACTTTTGACTAGATTATTCATGATACTTCTTACAAGTAATTATTCTTCCTGCAGAGGTTTGTATGGACATATGGAAAACAAGCTCTTAGAGGGGCTGAAACTTTAACCACATGTAGATGAGATTCAAATGAGGAGCCTGACTGACAAATGTGTAGAGAGAGTTTGCCCCCTGGTGGACAAGAGTTACGTTGACATGCATTACAATCACTCCGTTCTGCTCTGGAGGTCCTATGGGAAGACACTTATAAACTTCCTGATTTGTAGCTTTAATCAAATCTGAAATTTTATATGATTCCATATGTTTTGAAATCACACATTCATGGTGTTTGTGGGGCTTTACGATAAAGTGGGACTGTCTTGTAATGATTTGTGTACATCCTGAAGTCAGACTGGAGTTAGAAATGGCTTGTTTTGAAGGAAAATCAATTGCCTTAGACGTTCTCTTGCCCTTCGCTTGAGTTCTCAGCTGCTGAAATGTGAAAGTTGTTGGTCTACCAGAATCACAGCCGCAGGGTGGTGCCTCAGAATGCTCACACACGCACTCCAAATCCTTTAACATACCAAAGCACTTATTTTTTTGTGTCTATCTCTAATGGTAACTGACTACATCCATATGTACGCAAAGACTTGCCAAACAACTGCAACCTTTAAAGAACTGGCCAAACTCTGTGAACAATCTGGAGAACAGATATGCACTACCGTTCAAAAGTTTGGGGTCGGTAAGATTTTTTTTTTTTTAAGGAACTCTTTTTGCTGCGTTGATTTGAACAAAAATACATTAAACAGTAATATTGTGAAATATTATTGCAATTTAAAACAAGTGATTTCTATTTTAATATATTTTAAAAAGTAATGGAAAAGCTGTATTTTTAGCAGACATTCCTCCAGTCTTCAGTGTGATATTCAGAAATCATAATATGGTGATTTAATGCTCAATTAACATTTCTTAATATTATCAATGTTGAAAACAGATGTGCTGCTTAAAATGTTAGTGGTAACCATGATACATTTTTTCAGGATTATTTTATGAACATAAAGTTCAAAAGAAAAGCATTTATTTGAAATTGGCATCTTTTAAAATGTCTTTTACTGTCACATTTGATTAATTTAATGCATTCTTGCTGAAAAAAAAAGTATTTTCTTTAAATATATATATATATATATTGAACAGAAGTGTATGTACACAAAACAAACCAAAGCATAAGAAAATTGAATGCAGTAAAGCTGTTGGTGAACATCTCTTTGTTTGTCACTTTATTTTTATTTATTTTTTTTACTTTTGCCCCAGAACTTAACCAGTTTGATTTGCCATATTTAATGAATTTAAGTCATTATTTGCTTAAAGGCATAGTTCGCCCAAAAATGAAAATTCTGTCATTAATTACTCACCCTCATGTGGATCCGAACCCGTAAGACAGTCGTTCATCTTTGGAACACAAATTAAGCTATTTTTGATGAAGACCCTGCATAGACAGCAATGCAACTGACACATTCAAGGCCAAGAAAGGTAGTAAGGACATTGTCCTTACATTAAAATAGTCCATGTGACATTAGTGGTTCAACCTCAATTTTATGAAGCTTTTTGTGTGCAAAGAAAACAAAAATAACAACTTTATTCAACTTTTTTGTGTTCCACAGACGAAAGAAAATCATACTGGTCTTGAAAAACATTATGGTGAGTAAATGAAGACAAGATTTTCATTTGTGGATGAACTATCCTTTTAACATCGGGTGAAATCGCAACAAAAACAGAATGTAAGCGTCCAGCAGATGGCATTAGTGTTCCATGATTTATCTCTCTGTTTACCATACTATGAAGTAGTAAATTATGTTTTTTTTTTATCTGAGTGCAATTAAAAGTTCTAACTTGCAGCTCAGCATCTTTTCATTGGATTTACAATGTGATTCTTCTAGCTGTAAGCTGTCAAAAGAATAAGCCCTTTGAATATGGCAATGTCACCATTATGTCAGCGAAAGTGGCCACTTGAGACGGCACGAATGACTATTTGACAGCACTTTAACAAGCTTTATTAATCTGAGGCAGACACTTGAGCCAAAATTGCAAACAAACTACTTAATACAAGTGATCTTGTCTAAATCAACACAGATAGCCAAGGACATCCACACATC